CGCAAGTACATTTTCAAGCAAAAACAATTTGAATATTAATTGAACACAGTTCAACTTAGTAGTCAAACAACTGATAATGCACCTGTTGTCAGTCAACTACAATCAGTAAGTACACAAAATCATAATTCAAGTGAATTTTTACATGCCATTGCGACCATTCTTAATTACTTGAAAACTGTACTGCCAATCGGTACTAGTATAGCAGATATTTGTAAACAATTCAATCAGTTTGGTGAAAAATAAGTTTAGTAAGTTTGAATTTTTTATTTAGACAAACAGTGGAATATTTAGGACAAGGCAGTCAAATCTATTCGACAAATGATCGTCAACGTTATTTATCGTTTTTTCTTCGATGTTACATATTCATTCATCATTTATTGAATAAATAAATAAATAAAAATATTACTTTCTTGCTGTTTTATTTAGGAAGAGATTTGAGTTTTTTTTGGTCATTCTCTCATTTTTCTTCTTTTGGTAAATAATATTCATTTATATCACTTGTATTTCTCAAGGTTTATAATCTGTTTTACTCGTTGTTGTGTCATCAAAAGGAGCATTTTGAATGATAACGCATTTTTGATCTCATTTCATTGAACATATTCGATCAGTTCAAACAAGGGAAAAAATGTAGAAGAAAATGTTGTCTCTTTTTCGTAACATCATTTGATATAAAATCTTCTCGATCTGTTATTAAAGAATATAATCTCTACGATAACTAGTACGATCATCAAATGGCTGTTGAGAATGTAAAACTGATTGATCAGATTGAACAAATACTTCCATTTTAAAGATATCCTCAAATTAAAAACGATTAACATATACACGATGATAGAGTACGCAATAATTATAAGATAGTGTTCTTTTTAACATCTATTCTCCCACTTGAATTGTTCTATGATATACTTACTGTCGAATCTCTTGAAGAACTTTAATTTTGTATAGAATAAAACTACCTAATATATTGTTTGTGATACTCATGAATTCTTCTCAGTTAATCAGAAGAAATAGAAGATTAACCATCTGAAGGGTGGGTATGAAGAGCGCATACCTACATTCTCACTCGCAAACTATGAGCTCTATTGGCACTAAGAATCTTATCCAGACTTAGAAATAAACACTGAAAAAAGGAACGGCATACACCATTATGTTATTACTATTATCTATGGTGTTTTTCTTCGTCTATATTTTATTAAACGTAGTAATTTTTCATTTTGTATGACAAGAAAAACATAGTTCATTTTATGCACCTTGATCTTGTTAATTGCATGTTTTCATGTCTCTGCCAATTCTTTACAAATACCAGTTTAATCAATGTGCCACTATATATAGTAAACAAAAATATTATAGCTTACACATTATATTATTTCTAAAGAATACTGGCTTACTCGTAATCCTCCACTTGTTCCATCCTTATTTTTACGTGCGTTTTGACTCATTTTACCTATTTCACGTCGTATCCTTTCCTCACGAGCATCACCTAGAAAAAACATACAACAAAAGCAGAATAAATCAAAACAATAATCAGTACAGCTTACGAATCGCTGCTTCTCTAAGTTTTAATTCCTGTGTAGTTTCCTGTTCGATAGCAGCATTTGGGTCAGTACTATCAATGTGTTGCTAAAAAAAACTCATACAAACAAATATTTAAAACAAACAACATAGGATTAATTCTCTATTAAATGACTGACATAAAAACTCACTAATATAGTCTAATATCTGACTGAATAAATTGCATTATGAGAAGAATAGTTTTAAATCAAATCCTGAAGCAATACTTACTTTAAGATTTTGACTCTTTTGAATTTCTTGACGATTAATTTCCGGTTGTGTTATTACTGATCTGAAAATGGATTTCTATAGAATACTTTAACAAGGTAACGATCATATTCACCCAATAGGATTTGCTTGTGAACGCTCTTTTGGCAGAAATCCTGTTGAACGATTGATATCTCGGCTATTTAACAAACGATTTTCATATCTTGAATAATCTAAAATGATTACAGAGAAGCAAGTTGTTTAATATTATTCTTTGTATATACCATCAAAAGCAGATGGCATAATCAATTCGTTTTCATTCCACATTGTATTGTTCGGCACATCATATTCATCAGTAGGTTTAGATATCATCCTGTGGTTCGCGTTCAATGCAGTCCCATAGCTGTTTTTATTGACTTGAACATGTCCTTATCAAACAGAATGATATTCATAAGAGAAAAGAAAGATATAGTTATAGCTACACTACTTCCATCGTTCGAGCCTAAATGATCATATTGTCCTTGATGTAAAATAGTTTGTTTAATTTGTCTATAAGAAGCAGAAGTTAAACATTAGATATTATAAAAATTTTAAAGAACATTTACACTCGTTTAGTGTGTCTTGTATGTGCAACATATAGTTTAATCGTTTGACTTTCTCTACAAGCTAATCGTATATATTTTTTGGCATATTCATATGTAACAAATCGTAAATCGTACGTGTTAAACTAAAATACATCGCTTGTGCAAAAAAAACAACCAGGTCAGATATTTTTACCGCGGAGGAGATTTGTAATAATCGATCATCGATGTGTAACTGTTTATTAGTTTGATGTTCATTTATGTCTGTTATGAATATGCCATGATCACTGTAGAAATAAAAACCACGTTAGTTCAAGAAAAGTGAAAATAATCATGCTGATAATTACTTCACAAAATAGTCATCTCCAATTCCACCTTTAATATAAATACCTAATTTTCCACTATGCTTCAATTCAATCTCTTCACTATACAAAGGTGCGAGACGTCGAATCAACTAAATATATAATAAATAAACAAAGATACTGATATATACATCTTCTATTGCTTACCAATTGCACTTTCTTTCCCGATGCTCTCAAAATATCAACAGCTGTTTGATGTTTTATATTTGTAAAATCGATATTATTCACACGTAATATTATATCATATAATCTAAAATGATAAATAAAACGATCATTGTTGATGAAAAACACTTTTGCTTACTTTAATTGTTTATCTCTATATGCAAGACCATTTTCAGCAATCTTCGTAATAATAATAAAGTTAAAACGATGATTTATAAAAGGTAAATCAATCCCTCCTGCAATAGTAAATCCCAATGATCCATGGCTACTGTTTGTCTTTGAAAAAAAAAACAAAGAAAACTAGTTTAAAATAAACATTTAAAATTAATGATACAAACTCTTTCAAGAGTAATTTCTTTTTCTTCCCAATGATTATTATAATCGTACCGTATTATATCAGACATAATATTCGATCAATGATTTTTTTGCTAGCACTTATGTTACGCAAATATATAACATATATATATTAAAAGTGTGACTGAAGCCAAATTTCTTGTGTTTCTTTTTGAAAAAGAAAAATATTTAACAAACGTCGAAATGCGAAGAAAAGAATGAAAAAAGAATGCAATATTTACGAATGACATATTATTCATAGATAACACCGTTTATCAACAGACACTTCGCTGACTAATCATTCCGTTTACGTTGTGATGTTATTTTATTAAAAAAACTAAACTCAGGATTCAGTTTTGCACTGACTAATTTAATGAAAAGTATTGTATTTTTGGAACGTAATAGAAAAGAGAGCAATGCGATTTCCCCTGCTCCAAATTGCAAACACTTTGTTGGTAATAGGCTCAATTTTTGCTCGCTGATATGCATAGCGTCTGTCAGTTGACTCGTTTTATTCTATCTACAGTTTCTTCTTCATCATGGCAACTAGAATTATTATTATCGAGTATAGTGTAGCGACGAAAGGTAAGTCCGTGGTTCTGTACGATGAGGACATCTACTCGCTACGAACTAGGATTGTGCGAAAGTGAAGTACTGTGGATGGGTGTTGGTATGGAATAGAGACAAATACAAGGCACCACACCCACATCCACTCTCAAAATTTTTTTTTTTGTTTGAAATCTGTGTATTGTAATATCTATTTGTGGTTAAAAAGACTGATAATGATCGAGTAAAGATTGAAAAATTCCAAATTCATATAAAATTTCAAAAAACTCTAACACACTTTCAATTTCATTAAAAGATTGTATCGTCGTTAGATTTTTGCGAAATTCTTTTTTTTCTCCAGAACAGATAGTCAATGGGGAACATAAAAATAGTCAAAATGCTGTAAAGCAACGGCGAAAATTCTTTACGCAGCATTTTATTTGTTCTCCTGTCTTTTAATTTTATTTCTTTCTATGCTATGTATGTCTCATTACAACAGTCTAGCTTTCCTGATGTTGAATATTTTCATCCGTCTCTTTACTATGTGCGCTGTCATACATTCCATCGTTGTTAATACGATCAACTAGTTTATTTTTCCTTGACTTTTTTCTCTAGTGCTTTTATCAGAATTCACAATCGCTCTACCAGAAAGTAGAAAACAAGTTTTTATCAAACAAAAGATGTGAATAATAATCGGTTTTAACCTTAGTTTAGACGCGTCCGAACTCTGTGAGTTCTAAACCCTTACATGAATGGAGACACTCAGCGATTTCATGTAACCCAAGAAGAAATGGAATATCAAGTATGATGCATATGTAAACGACAAATGCTGTCAGTTCTCATAATCAAATTTACACTCAAGATGATCTGGTATCAGTTTTAACCATATTCAAGGTGTGGGTCTTAGTCTTTTGATACCCACACTCCTTTTTATTGATTGATACTTTTACGCATATCCCATTAGAAAAACGCATCATATGACAGAAAATAGCTTTCTCTTTATTTTTTTCTATCGACATATGGTAAGAAAAACTTGATGAAGTTACGCATTATTAAGCAAGTAATACTGTTTGTGCAGGTCTGTTTTATCATATAACATATTAATGCTTTTTTTTCTTTTCATTCTGTTTTTTTTCCTCATTTTCAAAAAGAACCATTTATGTACATGTCTGTTTTGATCAACAACATTGTTGTTATAGCAGCCACATCGAATAATATATTTTAAACTATTTCAGAACAATGTGTTTAACAGTATAGGAAAGTAGTGTTGCCGTTTGCCTCTCTAGTAATGTTGGTTCAGCATATATAAGTATATTCTTTTGTCGTATTTGAACTACTATAACCGTATCTTTGTTTGTTAATTATAGACGAAGAAAAAAAAGAAAAACACACATTGTCTGCGGTAGATAGAAATGCATCAATGTGGAAAAATAAAAGCCACATTAGACGAAGGCAGACAGAAAGAAAAGAAAGAGAGACAGTGAAGAAAAACATGTTATTTATATTTTCATAGCACTTTAAAAATGACGACGCAGGAGACAAGTTTAAAACGATATATTGAAGAACTTTCTACGACAAATACAGATTATAAATTTCCACAACAAGCGATAAATCAAGCTGAATCATTGAAGTCCTTATCAAGTGATTTATATACGGATAATATACGATTTATTTACGAATTAATACAAAATGCTGATGATGCTGCAGCGAAACATGCTACTTTGGCAATTCTCAACAATAAATATTTAATTATTGCTCATGATGGTAATTAAAATGTGTGTGTGTTAGTGCATAATAGCCTATTCGCCTCTTAGACGCATATCCACACCCACATCCATTTTTTAGAAATGTTATCTTGAATCTATGAAATACCAATCAAATTTGTATACCTTATTCAATTAATGTACTGACAGTTTTCTTGTTTAGGTAAACCGTTCGATAAAAAAGATGTTCAAGGTTTATGTGGTATTAATAATGGTACAAAAAAGAAAGATTTAGATAAAACAGGTTATAAAGGTTTAGGATTCAAAGCTGTTTTTGGAAAATCAAATAATGTTATTATTTATTCAAATGGTGAATACTTTCGGTTTAATTCTTCATATCGAATAAAATGGAATGAACAATGGGGAACTGAGACTCAAGAAATATGGGAGAAAGAAAATGATCGACAATTTATTTATCCCTGGCAAATCAATCCAATATGGACGAATGAAGATGAAATTCCAACTTTCATTATAGATTTTTTTCGTTCTAGTAAAATACCAATTCATGTTGCCAACATTATTTTATTGAATAATGCTGCAGAAATTTGTCAGGCTATTGAACAGTTAAAACAACAACCACATATGTTTCTATTTCTAAGACATATTTCTCAAATGGCATTTCGCACTGAAACTTCAGATATTGTATCTATTGAATGTGACGCTAATCATGGTTCGAAAAAAATTTATTATAATCAAAAGATTCATTCACAATGGATTATTAAACGACTTGAATTAGAAGTGCCAAAATTAATTCGACAGAAATTAATTGCTGATTGCAAAGTACCAGATAAATTACGTGGGATAAAAAAAGCTGAAATGTTGTTTGCTGCAAAATATAAAGATTCTATAATTGATGAAAATGGAAAAATAACCCATACAAGTACGATCGACAGATTACAAGATAAAGAATCACATTTATTTTCTTATTTACCTACAAAAATTGTCGATTATACATTTCCAATTTTAATAAATGCGAATTTTCTAACAAATGCAAATCGGGAACAGATTCATACAGGTCTGTTTTTCATCGTACAATAAGAAATGTGTCTTTATATTTAAATATTCTTACTTATACGTAGATTCGTCTTGGAATCAATGGTTATTTCAAAAAATAGGCAGCGAAATATTTCAATGGATAAAAGAGTTGGTTAGAAATGATCAATTCCGTTTTGAAGCTTATCGACTTATTCCAATGAAATTGAATTCAACAAATAATTGTTTGTCTGAACAATTCGATAAATCATTTGATAAGGCCGTCAAAGATTGTGACTTCATTCTCGACAGAGAAAATAAAAAACAATTACGAGTAAGATTCGAAAATGTTGACTTAATTTTATTTATAATAAATAAGTTGTCAGCACAATCTCTGTAGGATTAAAATGTGAAATACGACGTAACTACTCTTGCGTATAAGAAACAGGTACCTTATATCTATGACTTTAAACTTGAGGGTGTGGGTGTAGATATAGAAGCAAAGAAGATGATACCCACAATCGATACTCTCCCACAAAGGAGTGATCAGACTACGATTCACTTTCGGGTACGAACTCAATAATTTTGCACCTATACGAGCTCTAATCGCAATAGGCATTGCTAAATGAGTTTCATCCATGTGTACAGACGAATGGGTTAATTCTGTCGAGAAACTACTAAAAACTAACAGAACTGACACGACGTATTCTGAAAACTGTTTTATACTTTAATCTTCTCAGACATGATGCAAATATCTTTTATGTATAAAATGATTTCTAGGTAGATGAAGTTATTATGGATTTAACATCACTGTCGAGACAATCATCTTTTATAAGTACTAATTCAATGCGTCAATATGTTTGTTAGATGCACTGCCTCTCTTTAAGATGTTTATTCGTTGAATCGAG